CATGGAAGAAGGAACGTAGTGGACGACTTCTGAAACCCTGCGTTCGGAGGATGGACTAAATCAACAATAGTCCCTGATCTGGACCTTCTGAAAAAAAGTTTTGTTGTCCGGTACTTTCCCACATAAAATGATTGTACCGTTTGAAAGAACAGACTTCCCTCTTAAAGAAAACACCTCTTCTATTGATGTAAACAGGGGCAAAAGGCACCAAAACGGGGTTAGACAAGGTGGCATTCTGAAGTCTCACTTTCTTGTCATCACGATTCCAGGTAAACCATCAGACGGATTTACTTCAAGTTTTCACACATGTTACATGGTAAGAAGTTCTAGAGCTGATTAAATTTGCGGCGGCCATCTTGCATTCTGGCGGCCATCTTGGAATTTTTTTTCAGATAAATATTGTCATCGCGATTCCAGAAAAACCACATAACAGATGTACTTCAAATGTTCACACATGTTACATGGTAAAAAGTCCTAGACCTCATTATTTTTTCGGTGGCCATCTTGCATTCTGGCAGCCATCTTGGAAGTTTTAAGATAAATCTTGTCATCACGATTTCAGGAAATCCAAACCGATTTACTTCAAATTTCCACACATGTTACATGGTAAGAAAATATAGAGGTGAATAACTTTTCGGCAGCCATCTTGCATTCTGGCGGCCATCTTGGAAATTTTGGGATAAATCTTGTCATCGTGATTCCAGGAAAACAACCTAACAGATTAACTTCAAATTTTCACACATGTTACATGGTATGAAGTTCTAGAGCTGATTAACTTTTCAGTGGCCATCTTGCATTCTGGCGGCCATTTTGGAAGGTTTATAGATAAATCTTGTAATCACGATTCCAGAAAAACCACTTCACAGTTTTACTTCGAATTTTCACACATGTTACATGGTATGAAGTTCTAGAGCTGACTAACTTTTCGGTGGCCATGTTGCATTCCGTCGTCCATCTTGGAAGTTTTTAGATAAATCTTGTCATCACGATTCCATGAAAACCACGCAACACTTTTGCTTCAAATTTTCACACATGTTACATGGTAAGAAGTTATAGAGCTGATTAACTTCCGATAGCCATCTTGCATTCTGGCGGCCATCTTGGAAGTTTGTAGATAAATATAAAATACAGTCAAATCATTTACCACCAACAAAGGATGCTCTCATTCTCCATATAAATAGAGCCAACTATCAGGCCTATATTTGGCAAAACGCAGGCAAATCAATGATTGATTATCAATCCCCCACATTACATGGTTGGACATTCAAAGGGAATAAACTACAAATTAAGTGGATGGAAAACGGTCCTGCCCCACAAGAAATAATGGAGACACATTTTGTTACCGAAAAACAAACCGTTTAGGTAACCAGCATAGTCGAGTGGATCACTATAATATACTTTAGTAGTCTTTAATAATGTTAGGGCGGATGAGTTGTAAGGCATACTATGTCATGTTAGATCATGATCTATACTATTTTTATTACAATTTACCAGTTACACTTTCTCCATGCTAGGTTCTGTTATAACTTTTGTTCCGTTTCCTATGGCATCCGTGCTTTATACATTTACATTCACAATGGTCCCTTCCTGGTATATTTTTTCAGGTTTTATGACTGTTAAATTCTATAGTCTTGTTAAGACAACTTTATAAACAGGTTTATTATTACTTTTATGACTGTTAAATTATATAGTCTAGTTAACACCACTTTATAAACAGGTTATTATTACTGGTGTAAGTAACACAAAAAAAATATATAATTAATTTATTTGATTTTATATAACATGAAATTATTTTTTCTTTTCGATAAAACATTGCTTATTAGAAATATATTTAGTTGAAAACTTAGAGTAAACAATCAGAATTCTTCTATCACAAAGTTTATTTTGGTTCGGTAGATTTTTCTATACATTATTTTTATGTCACCACCACTAGTGACTGGGTGACATATTGTAATAGCTTCGAACGTTTATCTTGACACTGTTCAGTAGTTAATGTGTACTGTATACTTAACAAGGTGTGGTGACATTTTGCATGTTTCTGCATCGTCACTACTATTGAAAGCTTATATTGATATTGTAGCAGTGTTTTTTAAGTTCTTTTTGTTGATACAATTCGTTTCCAAACCCTATACTTATATCGATCTGACACACAGTTTTAGTGCAGGTTTAAGTGATTTTTGTTGATTATTAAACGCAAAGAGCACATGTGTCTCGAACTCGCAACATTGTGGATACAGAGCCCATTCACATAGTTTGACATGCTGGTGCTCTGAACCAGCTTGTTAGTTAATATCTGACTAAGAGACAGCTTGCTTTCCCGATGAAGAAACGTTATCTGCATCTTTTATGAGTACTATAGTATCTACAACTATTTCTGATCTTATGAGTATTGGATATCATTATTTTCAATTTTTCTTCAACATGTATTTTAATGACTTCAGTATGAATGGAATGTCCGTCGGAGTTGTGGTCGTTGATGAGGAATTGGTCATTGAACGGTGTGGATGCTGTTTGTTCCCATATTAGATTATTGTCTTGGGATATTCAGGTTTGATTTTTGCTTGCCAGTTTTACACTTTACAGTTTGCTTTTCCCACTAGGTTGCTTTACACTTTTTTCCTTTCTCATTTGTCATTTTTGTTTATATTTAGTAAGGATATGATACGCAGGTCTCTCCTTCTGTGTGATAACCTGTCCAGAAGATAATTCAACTGCATGCATGAAGAACATTTCGTTGACATGATGCACAGTGAAAGGTTTTCCACACATTTACATTTTCGTTTAAAAGAGCTTTAATTCCGTTATATACTCAGATCAAGGCCAATTTAGCATACATTTCGCTCTCAAAAATCACTGTGCAATAATAGAATTCAAAGAAATGTTTGACGTTTTCTTTTTGATGAAATGTAGTTATTTATTCTAAAAATCAATCGATGTCATACACAAAATGCATTTAAGTGGTATAAAGTACAGAAGCAGAGTAAAAATATGTATTTTAGAATATCACCATGTGTTACCCCATTGTAGCGCCTCTTGCCCATGTTTCTATCAATATAAAACATGATATCATACATCAAATATGCATTTATGTCAATTCATGTGGTTTGAAATACAGAAAAATAGATAACATTCTCCTTAGAATACCACCTTGTGTAACCCCACTTTACTGCCTTTTGCCCCTGTTTATATCAATATAAAAGGTAGCATGTAACCTTCCTTGTAACATGTGTAAAAGTTTCAAGAAAATCAGTAAAGTGGTTTTTCTGGAATCACAATGACAAGATTTATCCAAAAAACTTCCAAGATGGCCGCCAGAATGCAAGATGGCCACCGAAAGGTTAATTAGCTCTAGAACTTCTTACCATGTAATATGTGTGAAAATTTGAAGTAAATCCGTTTGGTTTTCCTGAAATCGTGATGACAAGATTTATCTTTAAACTTCCAAGATGGCTGCCAGAATGCAAGATGGCCACCGAAAAAATAATGAGGTCTAGGACTTTTTACCATGTTACATGTGTGAACATTTGAAGTACATCTGTTATGTGGTTTTTGTGGAATCGCGATGACAATATTTATCTGAAAAAAATTCCAAGATGGCCGCCAGAATGCAAGATGGCCCCTGCAAAGTTAATCAGCTCTAGAACTTCTTACCATGTAACATGTGTGAAAATTTGAAGTAAATCCGTCTAATGGTTTACCTGGAATCGTGATGACAAGAAAGTGAGACTTCAGAATGCCACCTTGTCTAACCCCGTTTTGGTGCCTTTTGCCCCTGTTTACATCAATAGAAGAGGTGTTTTCTTTAAGAGGAAAGTCTGTTCTTTCAAACGGTACAATCATTTTATGTGGGAAAGTACCAGACAACAAAACCCCTTTTCTAGAGCCCTTTTGGAAATCAGATCGGGGACTACAACAGCATAATCATATTTGCTAAAACTGACAATTTGGAGTCTTCAATATTTTTCAATCTAAACAGCATAATATGGACTTGAGTTTAATTCTTTTAAAAGTGTATGAAAAACACTATTTTGTTAACTGTACATTATGTGATTATTTTTTTTCACTTTTCATATTAATTCTTCACTTCATTCTCTCGGGCCCTTCTAGGTTCACCTGACCACAGATGGGGTTCTCTTACACGTTTTTGAAAAATAGGGAGTTTAAGCCTGCATATAAAATTGAAACGCCAACCTATACGTATGACCAATCAGCCATACAATGCATCGCTTAAATATTTTCCGTTCACATTTAGGATGTGAAGAAACATTGCAAACTTAAACTTCTACTAGTATTACGAAAAGCGTTAAAAAGATGTCGCGTGGGGACTCATTGAGCTCACTTTTCCAAGGAGGATTGGCTCCCCAGAGTGAGTGCAACATCGATATTCTCTCCCATGTGTGGGCTAGTACCTTTGCATTCGTTCGACTTCACTTCTTAAAAGAGAGCTTCGTCTAAGGGTAGTTTATAACTAGACTCTGCGAGCAGGGTATACATTGGCATGTCATCAAAATTTGAATTCAAACAGCCGCAATTTTGTTCACTATTTGAATCGTGTTATTTCCTAACGAAAAACGTTCCAAAACTCACAAGAAATGATCGAGATATTAGTTCGAATCATTTGAACTGTTTATTTTGAATTTATAGTCGGTAATAAATTCAGAAAATAACGACATTTCGAAGTTTTCATTATTGGAAAATATGAGTTCCGATCCTGGGAGCCAATCCTCCTTGCCTTATAAAATGGCTATACAGGACGACATTGTTGCTCAAAATATATGTGTGGCATACATGATACCTATATGAGTGAGTCGACACAGAAACCTAACCAAACATACTACCCGGGAAACTACCCCACACCCCTACGTGCCCCTACGATATTACCACATTTCAATAAGCGTAAAACTATTAATCTTCATCTGTAATTATGTATAATCCACCTCATGTCAGCACTCGGCAATAGTGAATTCTTGGCAGTTGAAAACGTAAACCACTGTAAGTTGGAACGTTTGATCGATTCTTCTTCTGGTCTGCCGGTATATCGACGTAAACCCCCCAGCACAAATCCAATTGAGATCGATCGAGTAATTAACTCATGTGAAAGACTGCATCAGCCATTTGTGTTGATGAGAAATCTGCTTCTACTTTTAAAGGTTTGCACCTGATATTTCTGATATCGAATGACATTTATACAGCATAGGCAGAATAATAATGTTTACATCTATTGCAATTGTCATAACGATCGTCTTGTTATGGCTCTTGAAGTCTCTCCTACACAGTAAGCTAAGGCATATACCTGGACCTAAGGGTAATATCCTGGTAGGAAACGCCCTTCAGTTAGACAAAGACAGACTGTATATACAGCTACAGGAATGGGGCGAAACATATGGTAATGTATTCAAAGTCCAGCTATTCCGAGATGAAATCGTTGTGGTGAGTGCATATGACGAGATCAAAGAAGTACTAATCGATAAATCCAATGACTTTGCCGGAAGGAGAAATGGCTATACAATGGAGTATATGTATGGACCTGTAGGTGAAGACAAAGCTGGGGCTCCGCAAGATGTCTCGTTTCAAGATTATAGTGCAGAGTACGTGACGTGCAAGAAGTTTACCCACCAGGCTTTGAAGCAGTACGGAGATGGGATGGATAAAATTGTTTCTCTTGCTATGGATGAGATACAGAACTGCGTCACTGATTTCCTTAGTCACGGCGGCAATCCATTTGATCCAAAAGAGTCTGTTTACAGATGTACCTTAAATATAATGATCGGATTGGTATGTTACATCCTAACAGGACATAAGGCCTATATTATTACGCAACATAAATTATTATATATTGTATAGAATTTGCACTAAGCAATTTCATTTGCTGCCACTTCCTTCTCAAAGGTTGCATATACCCTGCTGGGCTCCAGCAACATATGTCTCATGATATATAAACAAACAAAAATTGAGATTACAATTATCTCACATGATATGAATATGTATTTAATCTTTAGTTGACAAAACTGATAAATGTCATATTGACCTAGATACGTGTGACCCTGACATAGCTGTTCGTGAATGAATATTTTATGTTCAATCGAGACAAACTATCGCCTCTCTTTTAGATACTCGGCAAAAAAGTGGAACACGATTCTTTTGACTTCAAAGAAGTGTACAAAATCTTAAACATTGGCCAGGAGATGAATGAATGTGGTGATTCCTTAGCCCTGGACATTTTTCCATGGCTACGATTTTGTGGCAACAGAACTTATAAAGCCTTGCAAAATTTCAAGCGAAACAAAGATGCCCTGTTAGTCTCGTGGATTCAGCAAAGTGAAATATCTGTAAGTGTCGAATATTCGCATTAGAATAGTTTATTATTGGTGTAATGGGGAAGTCGCTCAGCATCTTCATATTTTTTAATTGGTTTGGGTCGATTTATGTCAACATGACGGACCAGGAAAATGGCTGATCAGAGCTGTCATTAAATGAATCCGGGGTCCTCGTCCCAATGAGCATTCCATCATTACCGCATCGTCGACAGAACATTCAACAGTATTTTTTATGAATCTTTGGTGCAGTATCCCATTCATTATTTAAATGTTTTATTTGATAGCTTCAGAGTGGGGAAAGATCCAATGGTGCGTGTGAAACTTTGGTGCAGTATCTCAGAGAAGGGAAGCTTTCTTATGGGAACGTGCATGGCATTGTCTCAGATATTTTATTTGCTGGTAAGTTTATGATGACTATATGAATGGAAATAACCCATTTTCATCCATTTATAAAGTGAATAAATTGGGAGCAGAAGAGCGATATTCAAATGTTCGTTTACAGTGGCGTAGGAACAATGTACGCCAAAACGCCAGTGCGTAGTGTTGAAAAGTGAGAATAAAAAGGCTTATCAATTTCCCTATGTTCTTTATTCATATTTTCTCATTGTATTGTGCAAAAGTAATCTCGAGCACACTAGCCTAAAGAAATGTTTTGTGGATACCCAGTGGCGGATCCAGGAACCAACAAGGGGGGGGGGGGACAAATTTCTGGTCAGAGAAAAAAACTTTTTGGGGCCTTAAGGCCTTTTTGGCCCAAATTTTTTTCGGGACCCATTTTTTTGCTCGATTTTTTCAATAGTACTCTTTGCATGGTTTTTGTGCCTCTATTTTTCTCACCTGGGCCACAGATAAATGGCATCTTTTTGAAAAAGAAAATGTTGAAAGTTACCTTGATTCTACAGTTCTAATACAAAGTAATCATTATTGCTTTGTTTGGCAAAGAATCATTTAAGAGATTGAATTCACTCACCAACATGCTTTATTTCATGAAAATCGAGCCACTAGTGACTATCTTATGGATTTTAAAAGTAAAATACAATTTCGCCAAATATTCGTGATTCGCGTTCTCTTCACGAATTTGAGAGAAAAACAGTTTTTTTCAAAAACTACTTGATGAACACCTTTGCAATTTTTGTGCGTGTTCCGTAATGCTTAAGCAAACTGTGGTATCATTTATAATGATGACCTCTTTAAATTAGATGTATTTTTTTATTCTCCCCTATCCCCAATTTTTCAATTTCACTATATCGATTTATATTCCGTTGCTAGGTAAAACCATAGACAGAAATTATGGTTAAGTCAGCAATTATCTATTTTCTTACTCAATCACCAATTGCTATTTGTAGTACTTCTTGAAATATGAATGTTAAAGACAAAAACATCTTGAAAATTACGCGTTCGATTACGCGTTCAGCAGATTTTTAAGATAATAGGTTATTGTTTTAGGAAATATAACATTTTCATCACCCCCTAAGTCACGTTGACCTCGATTTGACCTTTGTGGTGGGAGGTTTATTTGGTCTTGCGAATTAGTGTTATAAAAAAGGTTGCAGACATTAGGATATTGTATCATTGATTAATGCGTTTCTTAAATCAATTGATCAAACTAGATTCTTTCACCTGTGCGTATTGTCGTATTGCACGGTACACGTTGGAATCAGACAATACTATATCTCAATTCAATAATTCAAAAATGATTAAAAATCTCTCATTGTTATTTGGAAATCAGGCGTCTATATTGTTCGAGACATAAGAAAAGTGAGAATGATTTGTGTCGAGATTGAAAAGATCGGCTTTGCATTGTGATTTTAAATGATGAAAATCATTCGAACGTTTTAATCACATTAAAAACAAGGTATCAGGGATTTTAAGCTTGCATATAAAATCGAAACGCCAACCTATACGTATGACCAATCGCCGATACAAATGCATCGCTTAATAAATACTTCCGTTCACATTTAGGTTGTGAAAACATTGCAAGCTTAAAATCTTTATTGCCATAAAATGACGTTTTACGATCATAAAATAGGCGTTTTGATATAGAAGATATGACACAATTGTTTCATATTTTTGGCGAGATTTTTTGGCGTAGTGTTGAATTTACACCTTCCTACGCCCCTGGTTTAAGCAACTTAGATTGATATCCCTTGCACCTAGAGCTTCTTCATCTTAGTTTGAACTAAACTCTGCGTGCGTTATATTTTAAAACCATTTTGGTATCGGTGCCATATCGATAATGTAAGTTATATTTTAGGAGTATCCACGACATCAACAACACTAACTGCATTTTTCTTGGTGTTAATTAACAAGCCAGCCGTGCAGGAGAAGATACAAGAAGAGATAGATAGAGTGATAGGTGGAGAGAGGCTGCCGACTCTTAAAGACAGAAGTAATATGCCATACACCTGCGCCGCAATCCTTGAAGCTTTGCGTTATACAACAACATTGGCTCTGTCGTTGCCCCACAGAACTGTCCGTGACACGAGTGTTGGAGGCTTCAGTGTGCCCAATGACACCACGGTATGCATTCAGACGAGTATAAAGAATGACACGAATACTAAATATTTAGTGGACACCTGCAATTTCCAATAACGAAAGAAAGTAAATCAATAACGCAGATGCGAGTAGGTAGTTACCAGTTTCACCACCAGGTGGCTCGTTCGGGTCAGATAGCATGGCGGGTATAGTAGAAAAATCCCCTTAACTTAAATAACATCTGTTTTAGTGGTTCAATTTTCATATAACCCTTATGTATCTAATAGTTATGCAAATCAAAATATGTCCAGTAAATGAAAATGTTATCTGACCAATACAAGAAAAGATATTTCACTTTTTGTGATTTTGTAACATGGGCTCTATGGAGAATCAACCCGAACTAGAAGTCACACTTTCAAAAATAATGAAATTTTCAAACTTGATAAACAATTTTCGAATCCATATTTCTAGATGTACTTTTACATGTAGATTTCAAATATAACATCGCTTTGACTGAATTTTGAATATTTAATGGCGTAAATCAAGATTTTTTCTACTCGCATCTAGTCTATTAGGTGTTGAATGTATCAAAGTTACAATGGCCAACCATCAAAATTAAAGATCAATTCATATTGCAATCCATGCAACTCAAGCTTGGCATCCAAGTTTTTAGATAGTTTTACATAATGTACTTTTTTTCTTTTCGTTATTTTATGAAGGTCTGGGTGAATCTATGGGCAATGCATCACGATGATAGATACTTCGAAGACCCATATACCTACAGAGTTGAAAGGTTCCTGGGTGAAGATGGTGATTTGCTACCACCGAATGAAAGAAAATCGTAAGATAACTAATAACATATTTAAATACGAGTAGTATCAAAAACTAGATCCTTTCGCTCAAACCGCGTGACTTTTGTATCCTTAATAAAATCTGATATTGTTTTAGATTTTTGCCATTTGGTGTGGGAAGAAGAGTTTGCCTTGGAGAAACATTAGCCAGGGCCCGACTGTTCTTATTTGTTGCCAGTCTCCTACAAAAGGTTGACATTCTCCCAGAAAATGAAACCAATATACCAGACCCAGATCCTGCCAAGTTTAACTACGCTATGGTGAACATTCCGACTCCTTTCAACATAGTTGTCAAACAGAGGAAATTATGGAATGGAGGTGCAAAATGATTCGAGCTAAAAGTGGATAATCTTGCAGCATAATCATTTTAAAGGCAGAAAAATTCTAAATTAAATATGAGTTTTTGATTTAATTACTCCTTATTCTAAGTGTATTATACGTCTTGTAATCAGACAAATTGATTAACAGTATATCAAATGATAGGAAGTGGTACATAAAACAACTGTCCAATGGCCATGCAACTAGAATAGATCCAGGTTAGATATAGAGTCAACAGAGCAAGCGTGAGTCAGCAGAGCAAGCCAAAAGTGTAAATACATATTTTATAATAATATTTCTAGTCTAGGTTGCATCCACGCCGAGTGTTCAGATGATCAGATAATCATACAATTAAATTGAAAGCTACCCTATGATCATCAGTAAAACAGGTATGAATTGTAAGGCCTGCATCATACTTATGTCCAATCATAAGTTCGAATAATAGTTGTGCTTCAAATATTAATTGTATGACATCACGAGACCAATGTTAATGCTACCAGGGGGAATCGGACCTGCAGGCCTTACTATTTATGCATGTTTTTCTGCTTTGAAAAATTCGATGTGTGATGTATATTTTTATCGCACCCTAAGGTGCTATATTGTAATCAGTTTGCCGGGTGAGTGGAAGGGCGGGCGGGCGTCCCGAATAATCTTGTCTACAAGTTTCCAGCCAAACCGTTTGAGGGATTCATTTGAAATTCTCAGGAATGTTTTTACCTATGAAAGTTTAGAACTCATTAGTTTTTCGGCATTCTGGGTAAATGTTAAGGCGGTCATTTTGGATTTTCCGTCCTAAAATCTTGTCTGTCAAGGCTTGTCTACAGGTTTCCAGCCAAACCGTTTGAGGGATTCATTTGAAATTCTCAGGGATGTTGCTACCTATGAAAGTTTAGAACTCATTAGTTTTTCGGTATTCTGGGTAAATGTTAAGGCGGCCATTTTGGATTTTCCGTTCTAAAATCTTGTCTGTCAAGGCTAGTCTACAGGTTTCCAGCCAAACCGTTTGAGGGATTCATTTGAAATTCTCAGGAATGTTTCTACCTTTGAAAGTTTAGAACTGATTAGTTTTTCGACATTCTGGATAAATGTTAAGACGGCCATTTTGGATTTTCCGTCCTTAAATCTTGTCTGTCAAGGCTTGTCTACAGGTTTCCAGCCAAACCGTTTGAGGGATTCATTTGAAATTCTCAGGGATGGTTCTACCTATAAAAGTTTAGAACTGATTAGTTTTTCGGCATTCTTGGTAAATGTTAAGGCGGCCATTTTGGATTTTTCGTCCTAAAATCGTGTCTGTGAAGGCCTGTTTTAAAAAATAAAAAAGAATTTCCCATTGAGAGCAATGTTAAATTAAAAATTTTTTTTAGAAATAACTAAACGGTCAATCTTTCCAATTTTCACATATTTTATAATACATCAGTATTTCTTTTACCAGGATTTTTTCAGGAAAATCTGAATTGTAGAAAAAAGCTGATACACTGTGAAGTAATACCTTAAAACGTGTCTCTTGAGGGTTGTTTACAGGTTTCATCCTAAAATTTTAGAGATGATGGAAAGTTTAGAACTGATTAGTTTTGAGGCAGTCTGGGTAAATGTTTAGGTGGCCATTTTGAAATTTCCATCCCGAAAAGTGTATTCTGTTCAAGGGTGCGATTCTGTTCACCCTGTGGCTTGTTTTTATTTTTTTGTCGCTCACAGCACCCCTGGTGTAAATTTTAGTCTCCACTCCACGAGAAAAGGTTTTTCAATTGGATGATGTCATTTTGTTAGGAAATGATATGGTATGGTTTAACATATGTTATATGAATCTTCATACTTGGGTATTGATTTGGCCCACCCTGTACAAACACACAAAATTAACATAAATATACATTTTTATGTTATGTTTATTATAATCTAATATGATTGTATTTTATTGAAGATGGACCTTCTAAATTATTAGGACAAAGTTATACATACATGTACATTAGTGAATTAAAAGTTCATTCATTGTTACCAATATAAAACTCAGATCTTGATATAATGGCAATCTGTCATAAGGAATGCAACACTTGGTCTTAATTGAGATAAAAAAAAACTCATAAATATTCTGCACTATAACATACTGTCTACAATAAATACATAGAACTTATTAATAAATATGATTACTCATTTAAAATATGTAATCCTATAGCAAAGTATAGCTCAATAAAATTACATATATCCGAGCTTTTAATCTCCCCAAAAGCCATGATCAACAAAATACCACTAAACCAGTAGATTATTTTGAAATGGTTTTCAAAGTTCTACAACATGCGGTGAATGGTAAGTATGTTACTGGTTTAGTCACATCTGTGAAACTTCGTGTGTATACTCGAGTATTCGATCTCTTGCCGAAGTATCCGTTGACTTGACACTGGTAGACTCATTCGACTTCACTCATTTTATCAAATACAGTCGATAGATGTCTACGCTTGAATTTTTGATGTGCCACTTTTATTTAAAGATGTAAATGGCTGCCTCTGTATGCAAACCTACTAACATTGATTTAAAAAACAACAACATGACACCAATTTGCAGAAATGTTAAGGTTGGCCCAATATTTGGACTTAATTACTGGTATTATTTTTTAGAGTAGACTATTCTGTATTAAAAGTTTCATCTATTATAAAAATGTTCATGTCATGTGTATGGGAAGAGTGATGTTGTTGGAACCTGAAATCACAACCAGAGGTCAGGGCGCCATATGGTGTTAAAACTCCAACATGAATAAGTAAACAAAGTCAACCAGAGTGACAAGGGCTATATCTTTTGAATAAAATAAAGACAATTAAAATGTGGTAATAAACAACGTAGATATTGAGAGTATTTGGTAAAATAAGTAAACCAGAGTCTGCCAACTTGGATCAAATAAGAAGACTTCTGCAAGAGTTTGAATACTTAGGTAGCTCACAACTCCCAGAGCAATACGAACGTATGTTGACCACACGAGTCTCAGATCGTCCGTCAAAATTCAGTAAAAGATATTCAGATTGCAGATTTTGAGGTTGACAACTTGTTGAAAGTTGAAATATCCACTTTTCTTCCATTGTATAGTTGTTTGCAACCCCTTGGGTTAAGTCCATAACTTGCATACTTTGCAGCAAATTATGAAAACCATACGTCGCACTATGGTTCCTTTTCCTATATGGAGCTATTTACTGCCTAAAGGATAGCGGATAAAGTGTGAAACTAGGCAGGAATATTCAGCAGAACTGTGATTCTCCATAAGGCATTTAAGCAGTCACGGGGAAGCATCTATGCGGGATCTTCACCATGGTTTCCCAGGGCTCAACTTCACCCGAAATGCGACATTCTGTGTTAGGTGGACATCTGCAGTGACTGTAATGACACATTGAAAAAGAATTAGAAAACAAGAAAAACAGCAACACCACGGAGTAGCGTGCCTACCGAACGAAGCATATCTCATAATTATCGAATCTCTCCTAATTTTGCAGGATAGATACAGGCAGGTGGGAGAAGTTTCTTAGCACTTAGCCAAAACAATATACCTGCAACATATATATCCAATAATTTTTACATTGAATTTAAAAGCTAATATGTCAAATTCTCATAAATCTATCAATTCAATTCAATTTCAAAGTAATTTTGTTTCAATTTTCATACAGAAAGCTTAACATAAAGCAGTAACCTATATAAGTTTGCAAGAACGTCTGAATGTTTGACAAAAATGGTTACCATTTTGAATTTGGAACATGACTAACACTTAAGGTGGTATAAAGAGGCAATCATGTACTGGCTCAAATATTTTTTGCAGAAAATGTCTACCAGTTTTATATTGGGTAGCCATTTTGATTAACGATTAACTTCGTTCGGTGGATCGGAATAATTATGGCAGCCAGTGTTGCTCTATAAACTGCTAAAGTTGGCATATTTCACATTCCACTATTGTGTTAGTATTCGCTAGCTTTGGAGAATGAGGGTCTTACTAAAATAAATCATTTATATTCATAAGAAACAAAAACAAAACAATAACAAGCTACAAGAATAAAGTCATCTTAATCTTGGCCTTGGCAAAATAAGTCAATCTAACCAGAGGAGTAGTATAACTATTAATAAGTTCAATCTAAAAGCTGATGAATTCATGATCTTACATATTGAGCTTGGCCTATAGATGAATTTAACATCACGTGCAAATCGCCATAACAATATGATTCTAGAAAAGAGAGTGCTGCAATTCCATCAGAACATCAGTCCATTTATATAAGAAATATATACATGTATACTCACGATCCTCTTTCGACTACTTTGAAGCATCCTTTACGTTCAGTGTGGCGCACAAACCATTGACAGACCGTCCAGTTGCACGCAGTATAAGACCCACATTCACGAGCATCGAACCTGTAGCTTCTCTTCTGCTGAAATTCAAAGTTGCATTTGGTAAGAAGTAGATCCTGATAATGACAGTTCCTAGCGATTTTGAAAATCATAGAAATTTGCAATGACTTCAAAAGTTAGGAATGGTCGAAGTTCGTACACTTTCGTATTACAACCGAAAGTGTACGACGTGTTCTAACTTCTTGGTGAATTTTGACGTTAGTATTCATTTAATTTGACCTGTTGAAAGAATATTTTAATCTCGCAGAAACATCCACCATGCTACGCAGATGTGTTCCTTGGATTTGTTGGTTGAAATCGTCACATCAAAACGATCTAGAACTTCTCAAATCTTCTTGACAGCACGACAATTTGTTGAAATATTGATACGTCTTCATTATACATCATTCAGATACTTTTATTCCAAAAATAAATTGAATTTGTATAAAAAATGTACGAAGTGAAGGGTGTGTACGAAGTGCATCACGAAACTGTTGCTAAATATGTCTTTAGCGTACACTTCGTACACGACCTTTATGTCGTACACTTTTCAAATAAAATTAAATATATGAATTCTTCCATGTATTCTGAAAACTGAAGTGTTGGGTACAGTATAATGATTATTTTGATAATTTCTATAGATTGAGCTCAAACTGTTGAAAATATGCTCGGTTCATTGAAAAAATGATATTTTTCTAATTCTAAATATTGACGTTCTTTCAAGTTCCATATATATAGTTTGGAGATTAAGAGTAGCGACGAATTAATACTAGGGACATATCTGCGTAGCATGGTAGATGTTTCTGTGAGAGCCAAAGACTCAAAAGATCAAATATCAAATTAAATGAATACTACCGCCAATATTCACCTAGAACACGTCGTATGTACATGTAGTTTCGGTTGTACGACGTGTTTAGAACGGGGTGTGTTGACTCTCATTTGTAATAAATGCATCCATCATCAGGGGCGTATATTGCCAGGATGTATATTTGGGCGAGGCAAAATAAACAGGGGAGTCATATTTAGGTATTAAACATTTGGACTTTATTTCAACAGTTTTAATTGCCCCGCCTGCCTCACCACGTCCATTATGATTTAAATGAGTGAACGAAGAAATCTGATTCAATGATTTTCATTTGATGTAATCTAATCCAATATTTTATTTCAGTCAATTTTTATGAATAATTCATTGCAAGTTATTGTTGCAGCAAATTTGGCGTGGTATGCTTTGATGAGAGCGTGGGTAAACTTCAAATCATTATTTTATTCAAAATCTAATTTTCCGCTCGTATAGAAGGTAACTGTCATTTTATGATGAAATTACTTGTTGAAATCTAACTAAAAACCGTTTTTAATATCTAATTAGAATAGTTGTTCCTATACAATAGCACGAATGTTTTATTCATTTGGCATTCCGTCTCTGCTTAGAAAAGATACAGAAGCATTACCCATTGGGGAAATTCTCCACTTTGCGCCATTATATGTTCATTCGTTTATATTATTCATAAAGCAAAAAATATTGATTGATTTGATTAAAGATTCGACGCTAATTGCCTACATATTTATGGAATTTTGATGAAAATCAGGTGCTGTTTATCATTGATAGTCATACTATGTCCCGATCTCATGTACATTTACGTTGCAAACAGTGAAAATAATGCTAAAACGGCCGCCTGTTGATGCTTTGAGGTGTCATCAATTGTTATTTAATCCAAATAAACTAAACATTATTTTGTAGATTTAGACACGGGCTTTCAGGTAGTATATGCATTTTAGTCATTAAATGAACAAGAACGCTAGATTATACGTGTTAATAGGGTATCAAATTGAAATAAAATAACGAAATTAAATATGAACACATTAATGATAAATGACTTTCCGCTATCAGTATTAATGACTATCCGCTACTCAGAATAATTAAAATTGTCTGAACTACATGTGAAGAATCCTTCTATATAACCCCTTGAATGGTCTAATTCACTACCGTCCTCAAAAACCGATCATTTGAAATATTTTGTTCAAAATACTATCATGCCACGACTTGAGAGATATTTTGTTCTTCACGATTTGCTGTAGCGCCAGCGCTGATACGACGTCGTATTTCTCTATTTTTGTAAAAAAAATCGTCGATGGGACAAATTATGTCACGCACATATTAAACAATAACTGAAGATCTATGAAGGGATGATAGTCATGTGATATATCATTGGAATCTTGAGTTTATGAGCATTTTTATGATAATATAATATCATATATTTTCAAAGTTTATATTCATTCCTTTCTTCCCTGGATTCAGCCTACTAAAATTCAAAGGAAAAAAATCGAGATGGGACAATTCTCTGTCACGCACGTTTAAAGGAAAATCTCATACTTAGCTTAATCTAAAGATGTTAAACGTGATGAATCATAAAATATGGGCCATGAGCATTCTCTACATACCAAATATGTTATCATTTGTTTTCCTGATATCATTTTAGACTGCTATTAAAAGCACCCTAATCAATTTTGACAACGTCAAAATATTTTGGAACAAAAGAATGCTGAATTTGACCAAGTCATATTACTTGGTCCAAATACATGCAAAGCAATGCAACTGAACTTAAAATTATAGTATATGTAGTACAAGGGCAATGCTTTTATGACATTATAAAATATCTAGTTGAATGTCACTAGAAAAACATAATTTTGTGTATTTAAATGACGAGAGTCTTTGAAACTCGCCATATTTCTATCAATTTTTTTCTTGGTACAAAACAGACACAAGTCGCAAAATGCTTGCTATGTAAACAAAATAAATACAAAACATATATTTTTAAAGTTAAGTTCTAGCTGAACATATATAGAATAAGTAATAATGACATCTTTTTCATAGGTTTGATTTTTAAATAAGATAATAAGGGCCTAAGGTCCTTACCAACATCTATTTTTCGAGTTTTACACATTTTTACTATTTCTTGGGCATCCAAGATGGCGGATATGCGTTGATGACGTCACAAGATCATGTGACGTCATAAACGATCATCAGCAATTGTTGTCCCATACCGAATTTGAACTAAATTGGTTAAGGAATAAAAAAGTTATGACCAAATTACCATATTTCAAAATTATCAAATGCAACGTTTTACATGGTAAAAATGTGCACTTTAAAACTCAATAGAGTCTTTTAAGCGTCCCTTATCTAAAAAATAGGAAATAAAAATTAAATATTAATATACCATATAATTTTCATTTCAATTACCTATGTTTTGATATCTAACATGTTATATATTATGCTAAAACCATTGTTCAAGAGTCGTCCGAAAATAGATGTACCATTGCGTGTTAGTAATTCTGTAAATGTACATGAGATCGGGACATAGTATGAGTAAGTATAACCAACATTGATCTTGCAGATTTAAATTTACTTTGGAATTCTATTGAGTAAAGGTTTTTTCACAGACTATCAGGAATAAAGTTAGTGATTTGTATAGATGTATGATAGATCACAAGTTCGAAGATGTTAACAATAAAACTATTTGCAAAACTAAAAGTATCTATGTTACATGTGTTAGTCTCAGATAAAATTTATAAATAATCAATAAACCATGCTTTAAAATTTTATACACTTTTTAAGCTGAATATATTTAAGATGCACAATCGTTTTTGACCTTTTTTACCTTGAGCAGGTCATTGAAGGTCAAATCACAAATCTGAAGTCAGATTTGAACTTCTAAGAACAAAATGATCAATTTGAAGGAAGTTGAAAAATACCTTTTTTACTGTCTTGACCTTGAAAAGGTCATTTGAGGTCGAATCTCAAACTTGTAGATGATTTTGAAAAAAAATCTAAACAGTATTTGACAGTATATGAGTTGTAAGAATGTGTTACAGACGCCGACCGCCAACTGCCAGCCGCCGTCACAAATTGAACGGAGATCATAACAATATGATACCACTTTTGGTGCAGAACTATGTAAAATAACAATCTTGAGATGACTATTGCATTTTGGATACCTGGCTGCCCGCTCATTAATAAACAATCCATATTACTAAGATTATTCATTAAATGAAGTGGCATAACTCAGACTATACTTAGTATTTATTCCTTGCGACAATATTCTGCAAAAATTAGAATTTTTATTTGACCTTATTCAGATTATTACATTACAACTCAAAAGAAATTAAGATTACGAGATAGTCCATTCAAATGAATGGAGATTACATGCAGTAAACACGTGCTGCAATCCGAGCCCGTAATTGACGTAAAGCAATTTCATTCGCTGGAGTCTGCTATGTGATGGAATGTCCTCATAGAACCTTTAAATTACATCATGCCACTAACATGGCATGGCATGACAATCGTTTAGCAAAACTGGCATGTTTTCAAACCTTCTGAAGAGATATCAGTTATTATTTATCAACAGTTATAACTATATTGATCAATAAACAAATATTATGTGATGTGAGATACCACTTATTTATTTAGTGTGGTAATTATATGAGTGGTATGATTGATAAATTATAAAGAAATTGAGGAAGTCTAGAAGATTCTAAGCTCACAGCGGGGTTATCAAGTACCCCTGTTTCTCACTCCTACGTGTCGGTAAGTGAGTGCACTTTACAAACGGTATCACTTATCTTCAACACTTCGAGATTTTTATACTGCGTTACTTTTGACCACATACTTTTAACTAGACGTGATTAATAATCTGAGTCATTTTAACTTGAACATCACGTTTGCGAACTTTTTACGCAATATAAATTCAGTAGACCCTTGGACCCTTCATCTTTTTCAAAAATACAAAAACGATTTATCTATATTGTTAACTTGAATTTTAGAGGTTATCGACCTTTGTAAATAAGATACCATATAGTAATATGATGAATTGAATCTGCGGTTTTATGTGAGACCAGAAAAGATTTCAATAATGTACGAAATGAGATGAGATGATGAAGCCTCGTGTTAAATGTTCAAGTACCTTATCGGAATTATGGAATGTTTGGAATTTCTTCGAGGCCAAATTTGTACTACAGCAAGTAAAAAGAGGACAGGACAACTTTGCCGATTTAGTGCAGCCCGATCAAAAAATATTCATTTGTTATTACAGAAAAGGAAAACGGATAGCGTTTATGGAGTTTTAGAAATGTGTCGATTTCTATTTTTTCATTTTGCTATTATATCTATTTCTGAGACGTAATAGTGGCTGTTGTGATTCATATCAATCGATGTTTGGTGTTTTTGATGACACTTATACACTTAAGTACTCTTTGCTGATGTAACAACCATATTTATCTTCACAAATGGATCTTCCAAATCCCAATTTAAAGGCAGAATCAGATCTATGAGGGTGACAAAATTACAAGCAACATGTATAGTTGACCTACCAATCTATTCCTTACAATTTCAAATACAATATCTCCCAAAAGATTCATGATATGCTATAAAATGTTTAAGTTATAATGGATTCAAAGTTCAAAAATGGGTGAAAATGTTTCTCCCAAATAATAAGAATGGTAACCATTCTTATAGAAAAATAATACATTTTTGAAAAAATCTTTAGTTTACCTGAAATAAAGTGTGCACATTTGGAATTTTTAGAAAATAGACATGAAAGGGAATGACATAAGCCAGAAATATTCTAAAATTGAAACAATTTTTTGTCTTTAATCTAGACTTTGACGTAGGGATAGATTAAATAAAATATGTTTAGATCCTCACACAACCATGATTTCAAACTGTGTAATAGATTATATTCATTCACACATCATTCTAGCATACACTAATAGTATTTTATTCAAATTGATTAATATTTAAAAATCCAATAAGACAGTTTTACAAGAAAATGATGAAATCATTTACTTTCTCTTTCATGATCTCACTTTTTGTCTTTTTGTCAGTATATACAAATCAGATGTCACTCCACTCGTTTATCACTTAAACTGAGAACTATGAACATGGTTTCAAAGTTTGCTTCATTAAAAGTGTGCAAGTCAGAAGAAAATGAAAGTCTATACTCATTAAATATCAATATCAATAAGTTTCGCTCAAGCGGGTTATTTTCCAAAGGAGAGGTATCGATATGGAGAACTGAATTCAACAATGTTTTTCTCTTAAACCAATCATTGAAAATATTCTGTAAAAACACGATATTCTATGTAATGTTGACTGATTGACAACAATTTAATGCGAAAATCATATAGAAATATTTTATATAACTGTTTTTGTTAACATTTTTTGATTTTTTAGTGCAATTGTTTTTGCTCCTTTCTACCAATTCTTGAGAATGAAATAAAATGTCTTTCCGAACCTTGTTGGAACAAAATAGCATATACAACATGTTTTTAGACCTCTCAATACTATAGTTATACAAAGGAATTTTTGGTTGATTTTAAAAAAGTGTTCAAAAAATTAAAACAAAATCCCCAAAAATAGATAAAAATCAAGATAAACCTTTTATTTCATTAAAAAGATATTTTTAAAATCAATCAAAATGTACAATTACAATATTGAGAGACCTAAACATGAACTGTGTTTATGTCGTTTTGTTCCAATGAGGTTCGGAAAGATGTTTCATTTCACTCTAGAAACATGATACCAAGAACAAAACAAGTGTTTGATGTGTTTTCTAAAACAATATAGATGAAAGTTTATATAGATGTATTTCAAATTATATTGTTACCATTCAAAAGATGACCATTAAATTGACGATGTGTTAAATTTTTAGATTTTTTATGACTGGTTTAAGAGAAACGTTTGTTCAAAAAGTTCTCCATATCGATATCACTCCTTTATGGAGTTTTAAGATTATTTCAAAATGACCTTAAACCCCAAAGGAACTTTAAATAAAGTTTTCAATTTTGACCTTGATGAGTAAGGATTGAAATATGTGTTTTCAGTAACTAGGTATCTAGTATACTATTTATCTGATTAAGTTGAAATCAATCAAATTGTAACTAGATAATGACCGATAAATATAGGTTATTTACTGGCAGGGATTGAATATGGGTTTTATTCCGAGGGATAATATGATATTGACCGAAGGGTAATATGATATTGACCGAAGGAGCGCAGCGACCGAGTGATATGATATTGCCCAAGGTCCTACCTTTATAAAGGTAGGAGAATGAGATCTGGAGAACGCCCAATGCTCTGGTTATGAGTTTTATGCAGCAGCTTGAGAGTTTGAATCGGTTGAAAGCGATACACCACACCATATCACACCACTCATACCATATTTGTGATGGAACATAAGTCAGGATGAAGTACCACTGATACACTTGCAAACTGCGCGCCTCTTCCAAAATGGTAGGAGGGGAAATCACGTCTTCCAAGTTCCAAAAGTACCAAAAAATATTGGAAATGCACGGGCAGTTTCGTTTGTTAGACGGTACCATTATATGGACGCATTGCAGAAAACAACGACTGCAGAAAACAATGCAGTTTGAACGTCTTAAAGTAAGTAAGAAATAGACTCCAACTTGAAATATTGCTAGGCGCGCAGTTTAAGGTTCCTAAACCCAAGCATGGTTAAAAGGCAACAAAAGTAACCTCAATGAACGACTTGTTTCGAAATGGTATTAATCTAGATTATGAGCCCCTTACTACCCCCCCCCCCCTTGTAAAAAGTAAAAAACTATGGAGCAAATTCAATAAACAGTTTGGGAGATGATTTCTAAAAAATGTACTTTTGATAAACCCCAAACCGTACTTCTTTACATGAATCCTTTCATCATACAGTAGTTTGACACTTCATTTTTCATTCATAGGCTCCTTCCTTCACTATAAAAGAATAACTTTCAATCAAGTTAAGTTTGAAATCAAGTCTTATGATAGTGTCTTGAAATAAAATGGTAATTCACTTAATTAATTAAATTGTTAATGGGGCAATTTTGTAACCTCACTCACATTCAAATGTCATATTGCTGGAACCTTGGAACAAATTGCGTCATTTATTTAGTATTAAGGAACGGACGCTATCTTTTACTCAGCTATTAATTGCCATTTCCCAGCATTCTAATTATACATTTATCGTTTGTGAGATCCTTGGAAGGAATGAGTTGACATGTGAATCATGATGATTTCACTGTAAATAACGGACATACTCAATGCTACTCATAATAACTACTCATTATCTTGTATGTGTGTGCCATTATGAAACTTAATACATCAGTTATTACTTCATCTGATTAGTGACCTCATTTTTGACCCAACTTTTCACCTCCTCAAAATGCATGGCATTAAAAATATATTCCAAAACTTATTGTACAAAATAAAATGTATGGAATGGCGTTAATCTGTTAATAAATAAAAACTTACGAAACGCCACTCACTCTAATCATTGATAAATAACTATCATTAGTTCTCATTGAATGTTAAATATATATACAAATTAATCAATGATTCAGCCCTTTGGGAAACTGAAATGGCATCGAATTAAATTAAAGTCAAAGAGTGATCGGATAAAAAAAAATCCATTTCGCTATTAAAGATGCACCTGGTCATTCTAATGATTACAAGCTTTAATTCAATCATATAACTAACGTGTTGAAGACACTCAACATTCATATCACATACAATAAAACTATAGTTACACTCACTAAATAACGCATTAAAACCATAACATCATTTTTCCTAAATAAATGAAACTTTTAATCTAGCAATCTTACCTTAATGGATGCTGCAGATAATAATGTTATCACAGTCAAAAATATTGAGCACAGTAGGATTTCTTTCACTTTTATCACCATTATAAAATTGTTTGTTGTCGTCCTTTCGATCCTTCAAATTGGCGTGTGTGAATACTTGAGAAGTTTTCTGATAGAAGTGGATGAACAGATCGCTCGCGTCACCTTATATAGCAGCTCGTCATCAATGAAGCTAGAGAATTCCTGTATCGTGAGGAGGAGTGCACATTTATTAGTTTCACATTGCAATATAAAAGAGGCAACAATGAACATGTAAAGGCGAATATGAAGGCAATTGCTTCTAAATCAACTGGTGTCAACTAATTTCTGTTATGTGTGTCATGTGTGCCACGAGATCAAGCGAGACAAACTAACTAATTAGCGTAATTTTACTTCCAAGACAGAACAAATGACTCGCTTTCTATTTTTGCTAGAATCCACTACTTGGAAAAGGCATGAAGAATATTGTCCTTATTTGTATTGGTACCGACCTGGTCCAATTGTGTTGGACTAATAGGCAGACTTACATAACGGGTATCATCCCGTGCAAATGTATGGGAAACTAGAAATATGTACCAATATGCACATGTAGCATGCAAAAACCTACCAAAAGAGCCAAACAGAAAGGTGGTATCCGAGTAAATCCCCTACAGGTTGGATTCAACAGATGGGCTAATATTGAGTATTTTTGTATAAATATTATTAGTGCCATCTTTCTGCAAGAAATGTCAACATCAACGATAACATCAGTTGTTAAACCGTACAAAAGATATAACACGTTTTCTGATTGGGAAAAGTTAAGGGAATTGAGACATGATGTAAAATTCAGTAAAATTCAAGTAATAGTTGAAGAAAACATTTGGTCAACCACAAATATGCTGACAAAGTAGTACATATTGAAATATTGAGTCTGGGAAAGGATGTTATGATTATATGCTACGAACTGATCCGTGGACCTTCGTACTTCGACCTTCCTAAGTTTTTTGAAGGAGAAATACGTCAATTGTCAAATTATGAAAATATATCCTTGTATCCTTGTTGCACTGTCACCCAGTGCACTAAATTGCAATTTTGACTCCAGGAGTTTTAGTCCTACTATGATATATTTGGAATTGCACCAATCATGTTGCACTTGTCTCTATGGAGGTATATTTGTATATCCTCCATGATTTATTAGGTTGAGATAGTTTGGGTATGGTTCTTTGACATGTTTATCCAGCAAAGGATGGGTATCGATATGGCGAACTTTTTGAACACACGTTTCTCTTAAACCAGTCATCAAACAATTCTGGAAAGGATGTGTCCGGATATATGCCCTTTCGGTCCCTCAGTCAAATGTATGTGAAATATGGTTTTTATAACTGTCCTAGTTATATTTGATAAGTATATTTACTTTTTCATGAGTTTTGATGCATAATTAGCCCCCTGCTGAGAGTCAGAATAAGTAGCCTAACAAAACATTTTGAGCTTAATGAAAGATTATAGAATGATGAACAAATGGGGCAAATCTTGTGTAGAAATACTTACGATAAATGTGTCATTTCAAAGATTTTTCATTGAATTTGCTTCGATCGGAGCCGGCGATATGATTTTGGAAAGGTTTCTAAATGAAGAACGTGACGTCACTTCCGAATCATAGCATTCAAAATAAGTAGCGTTTAATTACTCCCACCATTCATAATAATACGGTGGTGTAGCGGTAGGATCCTCGCTGAGCACGCGGGAGGCCCGGGTTTGAATCCCGCATTCGCCTTTTTATTTTTTTAACTAAATGATTGTTCTTTGATATTACGCAGAAAAAACAATTTTTATTTACATAAACTTTATATTCGAGCTTGAAAATGTAAAAACAATATATGTCAACATATTGCGTTTTGGAGCGATGTGCAGGTTTAAGGATTAATTTTTTTTTCAAATTTTTGAATTTCCCGCCAGTTTAATTTGAAGGGGGAAAAACAAGATGGCTGCCTTTTGATGTAAGAAATATCAGAAAAAAAGTTGCTTCACTTTTAGTTTTCACAATGAACACAGTTTTCCGGTTTAGGTTCTTTGAATGATTCTGACTCTTCATCACCAGGGTCATGTATAGGGATTATAAAATTGAAACCAAAATGTTGTGCTCAGCATGAATTTGACTGAAATATGTGTAACTTCACCAACACAATTGAAGTCTCAAAACTGGATGGTTAGTAAATTAAATTTGAGTGACTATAATCCCTTGATTACCAAGATAGACACCGATTCACTTATCCACAAATACCATTCACTGTCTATACAAAGAAAGTAAGCAATGTTTTGGAGGATATGTTTCAAACGTTTTGTATAAATAATTCATTTATTATTTGCCATTGTTTTTTTCAATTCTGATAAAGTGATATGCACTGTCTTTGATGCCAATATTCTTCATCAATTGTGATAAAAATTGATATTTTAGTAATCTCAGAAGAAGGATAAGATATTGAAGTTTAATAATATGTGTGATTGAGTTGGTTTTTCAGACATTACAATTTTCAATATTTTCTAAGTCGATACCCAGACTCATTCCCTGAATCATCCTTTTACACATTGTCAATTTAATGGTCATCTTCTGAATGGTAACAATATAATTTGAAATAGATATATATCCTCTTCTCTATATTGTATTAGAAAACACATCGAACACTTCTTTTGTTCTTGGTATCAAATGTTCGGAATGAAATCCGAACCTCATTGGAACAAAATGACATAAACACAGCGTGTTTATGTCTCTCAATATTGTAATTATACAAAGGAAAGTTTGGTTGATTTAAAAAAGTATCTTGTTAATGAAATTAAAGGTTTATCTTAGTTTTTATCTATATCGGGGGTTTTTGTTTAAATTTTTTGAATACTTTTTGTTAAATTAACCAAAATTTCCTTTGTACAACTATAATATTGGGAAGTCTGAGAACATGTTGTATATGCTATTTTGTTCAAACAAGCTTCGGAAACATATTTTATTTCATTCTCAAGAAATGGTAAAAAGAACAAAAAACAATTGCACTAAAATTAAATTGTTGTCAATCAGTCAACATTACATAAAGGACCGTGTTTTTACAGAATGTTTTCAATAATTGGTTTGAGAGAAAAACATTGTTGAATTTAGTTCTCCATATCGATACCAATCCTTTCAATTTTCAGAAATTGTTTACTTTGAAAGAGAACATATGATGTAATGATGATCATAAATGGTTTCAAAGTTTATTTCCTGTTTGTAATACGATATGACTACAATATACATTTATACAGACATGATCCTTGTAGCTGAAATGAGAAAGCAGGATGTTCTAACACATTTCGTGGGTCAATAGTAAAAGATTTATTTTTCAGATCAGAAAAAATACAATTCACTTATCCACGGTGCCCATGTCAAGCTGCGCGCCTACTTAGGCGCGCAGTTTGTTTCGATCACAAACTGCGTGCCTAAGAACATTGCATCATTTAAGTTGGAGTCTGTATTTTGAAACGTAATTTAAAGACATTTATCCTGCATTGTTTTCTTGTTCAATGCGTTCATTCTGTGGCGAATATACGAATCTTGCAAATACTAGCAAAAACTATGTGCAAATGAATCTAAGTTTTAAAACATAAGCATATTAATGGCATTTTCGTCACTGATTTAACGGGAATGTATATGATACGACGTCAGATACTGTACATCACGGCGTAACAGTGTAATTGTTCATTTTACCGACAAAATGCAAAGATTTACGCGATAAATATGCGCAATGCTCCTCCAAGTAATTGCAAACGTTTTAATATTCGTGGAATCTTCTTAAAAACTTCAAGTTTTGTTCAGATTAATGTGCGCTTCAATACAATTCTGTATTCAAAAAGGTTGTGTCACGATATACAGAATTAGAATCACCAGAAAGTAGACATTTCAAACCCTACCCGTTTTCTTCTTTGTCGCGCTTTTCGGCCCTGCGCTCTCGTTGTTGCACCGTCTTTCTAGACTCTTTCACAATGCCCCTTGTCATATTCAACTGATAAACACAGACGGGAAGATATTAAGGATTGTTAAATGCATTATTTGTAATTTATTTTAACTCGAATATTTAGTTTTATTTATTTAAAGCAATGAATAATAAAGGAGAACATATAATACGCTAACGGCATAACGTCTTATTTTGTAAAGGCTTCACTTGGGGTTGCGGTGATAAAACGATGTCTATCTCAATATATACTGGTTCAAATTTAATGAAATTAATTGTATGTAGTAAGGGGTATATTTAAAAGAACATGCTGAAACATTGGAACGTTTTGAATGTTTATCCCTTAATTAGAAATATTTGAACTCAAAAAATGAAACGTAATTTTGTGAATTTTTCACATGGCTTCACTTCATATTTCTTTCAATTTATACTTCTTACAGACTGAATTTTAATCGAAATGATATAGTTTTTTGATAAAAATATAGAATATGATATGCCTTTCGGGAATCAAAAAAGAATATTTCACCTTTCAAGCGATTTAATGTTTGATTGATCAAAATATATATCTTGTTGGTACGAAATTCTGCCTGTCGACACTTTTTTTGCATAAATATAAGCGTTAAGTTAGCATTGTTATATTATGACGTCATCACACAGAATCTGTTTGTCTTTTCCAAAATGGTGAATTTAAATATTGTGAAAATTTGAGAAAGATCCGTTGGGAAATGAAAAAGTTATCTTCATTTTTCGTTAAAATTAAAATCACTTTTCTTCAAAATGTTACAGTCGACACCCGGTTTTAGCATAGAAAGTCGCATAGTACGGCTTGCGTGATTCTCATTTAAAAAGTCCCAAATCAGTTATTTGGAATTCCGATAGGCAAAATATTTCATGGACATACGTGTTCAACTGATGACGAAAAATTGTAGAAAATATGATTTTGCTGTCGAGATATTGCGGTTTTAAAAGTAAGTACGCATATAAAAATGCAGTAAAATGCCGCGATGTACAGTATCTGACGTCGTATCATATACGTAAATCGATCTAGCACTTTAAACATAAATGACAAATACTTTAGTCTCGTTTTATATTTAATTCCTTACACATTTATCATTTATAATTCAAAATATTTCGAGATAAAACAGATAATCAGGAGATTAAAAAGAAATGAATCACAAACTGCGCGCCTATTTTAGCCAGAAATTACAAACTGTGTGCATACACTATTAAAACTACATATTATCATTGGAATTTCTACAGAGGCACGTGTAGGTGTTTTTCACGTAGCTTTGGAAATTTTACTTTATCGTCAGATTTTATGAGATTTTCATATTGAAAGTCAAAATGTATAATAGAAGTGACAATTAAGTTGGGAACGAAAAAAACTTTTATTTTCAGATCAC